CCTAGAAAATCGCTTGTAGTCAAGTTTTCAACCATTGCCAGTTCTCCCATAAGAAGTGTCATCCACCTGTAACAACTGCTCATCCAAAATGGCTGAAATTTTGGTGAATAACTGTCAACAGATGAACAATGAAAATTCACTAGCTTTTATATACGAGTGCTGCCATCTTCACGTTGAGGTCGGAAACTTTTCAGACCATCCTCGTACAGACGGACAGACAGAGAGACAGACACCATGAAAATATTTTGTATTTAGGTCATTTATGACCCAAATAATTCATTTTGAGTGAAATTAAAAAAACTTTTAATTGCCGATCTTAATAGCCTACCATACCTATTGGTATGGTCGGCTAATAATAATTAAAATTCTTCTTCTTCTTCTTTTAATTATTTGAGATCTTTCGATCTGTTAATTTTAAGGTAGCCTCTGTAGGATTTCTTGGGAGATGGACTGCAACTGTCTTTCCATCTTTTTGGAGGTCTTTCCGGCTGTCTTTTACCCATGAGTTTCCCTTCAAGAGCGTGGTAGCCTGTTTTCTTCCATGCGTTTCACGTGTGCGAACCATTGTCTTTTTCTTTGCCTACCCCCTCTCACTACGTCCTGTACTCCACATTGTTGTCTGATATTTGTGTTTCCAATTCTGTCTCTTCTACTCTTTCCCATTATGGTTCTTAGGTTCTTCATTTCAGCGACTCTTAACATGCTTTTGGTCTTGTTTGTTAAAATTGATTCTTGTAATTTATAGTGTAGACATTTAAAATTAGTGTAAATTTTATATTCAAACTAATATACAGAATGTGGGTAACGTATGAGAGGCAAAGCTTCAATACACCGTCAAGAAATATTAGGAAAATGAATTCATGGCACTATTTTTTTTACTTCCCCAGAAAATGTGAAATTTTCCACAATTCTTTTTTGTTAGAAAAATTCTCATAGGCGTGTTTTGAGGTCGATATACAGGGTGGTCCGAACTGTATTCCGGAATCTTCGGCAACATATTCTGCAGATAAAAATAAGTAAAAAAATTCGTATAAATGTATGTCCTAACATGCTTAGTTTCGGAGATACAGGGTGGAGAAGTTTCATTTTTATTTCGATTTTTTCCAAATAATTTATGAAGTAACGTCAATATTTGGATGAAAATTGGTGACTGGGAGTTTTTTGACATGAGAAATTTGATTTTGCTGTCAATATGACTCCTACTTGTAGAGGACGCCACATACATATTTTTTAACTGGTTTGAAGAGTAATAACTTTCAGTCCATACCTGTATAAAACTACAGAGTAAAAAAAAATATGGAATCGAAATTATCAAAACATGTCATCATTGACACACCTAAATTAAACATGTTGAGTAAATAGTTATTAGAGTGAAATCATAAATTTAACATGCTTTTGTGCCAAAAGTTCAACAGAAACTGTTTTACCATAATTTTTTTGTAGAAAAATTTATGATTAATTTTTAACAAATTACAATTTCCCAGATTTATTATTTCGGTCAAATAACTATGCTACTGAAACGTGTCTATTTTTTGTCAATAATGACATGTATTGACTACTTCCATTTTAATATCTTGAGAACTGTTTTTTTTTAATAAATGCCTTTATTGTCAAAATTTTTTTCAATTTGTAGACAAAGGTAAACTAACAAACAAAGTAAAAAAAACAAGGTACACAAACAAACAAACAAAAGATAATACAAAACATTATACAAATAATATTGCCAGTCTTATTGTTAAAATAAACATTTATAAATGTTTATAATGTCAAAGAACAAAAAATAAAAATAATATTCAAAAATATTTAGCTAGTTTATAGTAAAATATCAATGACCTTTAAATAAATTCATTTCGATGTCATTAGTAAATATAGCAATAGCAAACATTAGACCAGTGTTCACAAGATCAAACTTAATTTTCAAAATACAATTCATTTACGGCGTAGAAAGCCTTGTCTAGTAAATAAGAGTTCAATGCTTTGCGAAATGAAAAAAATGCTGTTATGGATTTGATTTCAATGGCAAAGATTGATTGTGCATTTTTTCCAGGTTGTATAATATTGAACTTTAACTAACTCTGAGCGTGGGGTAGGTAGATAAAGATCTTGCTCATGTTCCTGGAGTGATAAGTGTGAGATGGCCTTTCTTGAAAACTGATAGGGTGTGCGCGGGGCAATAAGAACCACCTAAGGAAAACCTGAAATAAAATGCTACTTATTCCACTGCTGGCAAACAATTTTCTTTTTTTTCTAGATAGTTCGTGATGTGGAAATAAAATATAAGTATCAGTTTCTGTTTTAGATAAACATTACTGGTATGCAAAAAGAAAACTAAAACCTATCATTGGCTCTCTACACCCATAACAGTGGGGGAATTGAAGCCACTTTTATTTTACATATTTAAATCTGTTATTAACATTGTCAAACAAAATTGGATTATTTTAGAATTTCACAAAGAGAGAAAAATGCACATATGTCTGGAAATATTTAAAAAATATAAAGTTATTTCAGTTGAAACCAAAGGTTACAAATATCTTTGGAACATCTTAAAACAAATTTAAATTATTTTAGTTAAAAACAAAAGACACAAAATATGTCTGGGATATTCTGAAACAAAGATTTAAATTATCTTTTAAAAATAAAATAAGGAAATATGTTTATAACATTCTAAAATAAAATTGAACCACCATGGGGATGAGAGAGCCACTCTGGCTCCGATTACCCCTGTTTGTTTACATATTTGCAAGTTAAAATAACAAAATTAAATGCGCTAACAGAAGCAAAAACAACTGCACAAATCGAACCTACACTTCAATAGATTTTGATTAACACCGCTATTTTTGATCTAAAGCAAAATATAAATACAACTTACACTAATTTTTAACAAGTGCACGCTATAAGAAAGTCCCGTAAACTCGATGCGTTCTTCTCAACAGACTTTGAATGCGTACCAAACAAGGCGGTGGTGGCTAGAGAAACATTTAATGGGATCCCTGCATATCATGACTGTCAGTGCTCAGATCAGGGCGCGTTATTCAAAATTACACAATGGCTCTCATTACCCAATGGCTCCCAATACCCCGCGGTACCCTACATGTTTACGTATTAGGCAAACGGATTCAAATATAAATAAGAAAGGAAGAGTCAATATTTTTAATTTTTTAAAAAAGTCCCGGCAATGAGTTCTGCTGTTTAGTCCCAGTGAATATCGAACAGCTCTCTTCTGGAGCCTGAAAATGCGGTCAAATTGAGTCGCACAACACATACCCCAGAATGGAAGGGCATACCTGAGGTGCGACTCAAAAAGTGCATAATAAACAGTTTTAGCCACTGACAAGTTAAGCTCCTTAGAAACAGACCTTAATGCAAAACAGGCAGAGCTCAATTTTTCCGACAAAGCTTCCATATGTATGTCCCATTTCAGAGAATTGTCCACAACAAGCCCTAAGAATTTTACAGATTTGACGACGTCAATGGTGGTGTTGTTAAGTACAAAAAGCTGCAACGAGTTTTTATACGACAAAGCTTTAGTTTTAGAAATGTTGAAACTTAGGAGGTTCGAATTGCACCAAGATTTAATGGTGATTAAGTCATTTGATATAATCCTATGAAGTGCCGTGATGTCCTTGTTGCTCCAACTGATGCTAGTGTCATCCGCAAAAAGACATATTTTGCCACTGATGTTTATGTTAGCAATGTCGTTAATAAAAAGAAGAAACAAAATAGGGCTTAGTACTGAGCCTTGTGGTACTCCACATTCTATTGGCTTGCTAGAAGACAACGTGGTATCCACCCTCACAAGTTGACTTCTGTTGCTCAGATATGACTTAAACCATTCGAGAGATGATCCCCTGAACCCATAGTGCTGCAGTTTATTAATTAAGATCTTATGATTTACACAATCGAACGCCTTAGAAAAATCACAGAAAATTGTTGCTGTAGAATGATGGTTGTTTAGGCTGGAGTAAACTTTATTAAGGAGGGAAAACATAGTGTCATTTGTGGACTTGTTGCTTCGAAATCCAAATTGATATTCAGTAAGTATTTTGTACTTAAACAGAAAAGCCTTCCAAAAGATACCAGCCTTCTTTTAACCAACCTTTCTATGATCTTAGATAGCGTTGGAAGGAGTGCAATTGGGCGATAGTTAGAAGCTTCATCTTTGTCTCCGCCTTTATGCAGAGGAATGATTATTGCCGTCTTAAGACATTTTGGAAAAATACCATTTTGGAACGACATGTTTATTAAAGTTGTTAGGTGATTCAGAGTGCTATCTGGCAGATTCGAAAACATTTTTAAAGTTAGCCCGTCGGTCCCAGAAGAGGATTTATTTTTGATGGTATTAATTGTACTGCGAAGCTCTTCTAAAACTACGGGCGAAAAAAAGAAACTGTGTAAGTTTACAATATCATTAGAGAGATAAGAAAGAGAATCATGAGGAGGACATATGGTTGCGGTTTTAAGTTTTTCGCTACATTTACAAAGTAATCATTAAGTTTCTCAGGTGAGGTATAGATATTGCTAGACGAAGAAGCTGTTGCTCGTAGCGATTTTTACCAAGAGACACTTTTTACGTAAAAAGTCATGGAAATGTATATTTTTCCACTCAGTAGTTTTATACAGGTACGGACGAAAAGTTATTGCTATTCAAAACAGTTAAAACACATGTAGATGGCGCCCCTTACAAATATTAGTCATACGATATCAAAATCAAATTTCTCAGATCAAAAAACTCCCAGACACCAATTTATCACTCAGATATTGACATTACTTCAGAAATTATTTGGAAAAAATTGAAATAAATATAAAACTTCTACACCCTGTAAATCCGAAACTAAGCATTTTAGGACATACATTTATACGAACTTTTTTACTTATTTTTATCTGCAGAATATGCTGCCGAAGTTTCCGGAATACAGTTCGGACCACCCTGTATATTACCAGTTAAAGTGAGACATCCTGTATAAAAATGTTTTAATGCTATTTCATTATTTTCCTTTCAGGAACTTAGAGAAGAATTTGAACGAGAATCAGAGAAAACCGGAAGACCAAGATTATTGCTCACCATGGCTGTACCGGCTGGTATAGAATACATTAACAAAGGCTATGATGTACCTAAACTTACCAAGTGAGTATAGTATCATGCGATCGAAAAAAAACAACGTCAGAACCGGCTGGGAAATGACAATCGATGATAATTTTGGCGAGGTCAAGCCCCAAACGTAATTTACTTCGCCTATACTCTTCTCTACTACGTCATTTAGATAATGAGTTTTAAATGATATAGTTTAAAATTAGAGTTAAAAAATAAAAATATTTTATTTAATAATTTTTTGGAAATAGATTTGTGTGTCGATTTTTAATAAATAACGTCTAGAGATTGACCTCGCAAAAATTTTCTTCGATTGTCATTCCCAGCCGTCTCTAACGCCGTTTTTTTCGATCATACGGTACCTAAAGCGTATATTTAGATAAATAGAATATTTTTTCAACCGATTAGAAAACATAGGTATTGAAAAACAATAAATCAATAAATCAATAAATCAATAAATCAATAAATCAATAAATCAATAAATCAATAAATCAATAAATCAATAAATCAATAAATCAATAAATCAATAAATCAATAAATCAATAAATCAATAAATCAATAAATCAATAAATCAATAAATCAATAAATCAATAAAATCAATAAATCAATAAATCAATAAAATCAATAAATCAATAACCCAAAATCAATGGAAATCAATAAATCAATAAATCAATAAATCAATAGATCAATAAATCAATATATCAATAAATCAATAAACTCAATAAATCATGAAATCATGTAACTCAATAAATCGTAATAAATCAATAAATCAATAAATCAATAAATCACAATCAATAAATCAATAAATCAATAAATCAATAAATCTAATAAAGTCAATAAATCAATAAATCAATAAAATCAGTAAATCAATAAATCAATAAATCAGTCAAAGTCAGTAAATCAATTAAATCAGTGGAATCAATTAAATCAGTAAATCAGTAAATCAGCAAATCAGTAAATCAGTGGAATCAGTAAATCAGTAAATCAGTAAATCAGTAACAAATGGAATCAGTCAAATCGGTAAATCAGTAAATCAGTAAATCAGTAAATCAGTAAATCAGTAAATCAGTCAAATCAGTAAATCAGTAAATCAGTAAATCAATTAAATCAGTAAATCAATTAAATCAGTAAATCAGTAAACTGGCAAATCAGTAAATCAGTAAATCAATTGATCAGTGAAGTCGATGATCAGTGAATCAGTAAATCAGTAAATCAGTAAATCAGTAAATCAGTAAATTGGAAATCAGTAAATCAATTAAATCAGTAAATCAGTAAATCAGTAAATCAGTAAATCAGTAAATCAGTAAATCAATCAAATCAGTAAATCAGTAAATCAGTAAATCAGTAAATCAGTAAATCAGTAAATCAGTAAATCAGTAAATCAAAGTAAATCAGTAAATCAATACTGTCAATGGAAATCAATAACCAATAAACCAATAAACCAATAAACCAATAAACCAATAAAACCAATAAAACCAATAAAACTAATAAAACCAATAAACCAATAAACCAATAAACCAATAAACCAATAAACCAATAAAACCAATAAACCAATAAACCAATAAAATCAATAAATCAATAAATCAATAAATCAATAAATCAATAAATCAATAAACTCAATAAATCAATAAATCAATAAATCAATAATCAATAAATCGATGGATCGATAATCGATAAATCGATAAATCAATAAATCAATAAATCGATAAATCGATAAATCAATAAATCAATAAATCAATAAATCAATAAATCAATAAATCAATAAATCAATAAATCAATAAATCAATAAATCAATAAATCAATAAATCAATGGAGTCAATAAATCGATAAATCGATAACTCGATAAATCGATAATCGATAAATCGATAACTCAATAAATCAATAAATCAATAAATCAATAAATCAATGAATCAATAAATCAATAAATCAATGGAATCAATGGAATCAGTTAAAATCAGTAAATCAGTAAATCAGTAAATCAGTAAATCAATAAATCAATAAATCAATAAATCAATAAATCAATAAATCAATAAATCAATAAATCAATAAATCAATAAATCAATAAATCAATAAATCAATAAATCGATAAACCAATAAATCCATAAATCATTAACTCAATAAATCAATAAATCATTAAATCAATAAATCCTAAATCAATAAATCGATAAATCAATAAATCCATAAATCAATAAATCAATCGATCAAATCGATCAATATAGTTGTCAATCGATAAATCCTAAGAATATAATATATAAAGTCAATCAATAAATCAATAAATCAATAAATCAATAAATCAATAAATCAGTAAATCAAAATCAGTAAATCAGTAGTAAATCAGTAATTGCAAATCAGTAAATCAGTAAATCAGTAAATCAGTAAATCAGTTAAATCATGTAAATCAATAAATCAATAAATCAATAAATCAAAATCAATAAACCAATAAATCAAATAAAGTCAATAAATCAATAAATCCAAACTACAATCAATAAACTAATAAATCAATAAATCAATAAACCAATAAATCAATCGTCAACCATCAATGTTAATAAATCAATAATCAATAAACCAATAAATCAATAAATCTAATAAATCAATAAATCGATAAATCGATGAATCAATACATCAATAAATCAGTAAATCAATTAATCAATAAATCAATAATGGATAAATCAATAAATCCAATAAATCAATAAATCAATAAAATCGATAAATCAATAAATCAATAAATCAATAAATCAATAAATCAATAAATCAATAAATCAATGATAAATCGTCATATAATAATAAATCAATAAATCAATAAATCAATAAATCAATAAATCAATAAATCGATAAATCGATAAATCGATAAATCGATAAATCGATAAATCGATAAATCAATAAATCAATAAATCAATAAATCAATAAATCAATGAATCAATAAATCAATAAATCAATAAATCAATAAATCAGTAAATCAGTAAATCAGTAAATCAGTAAATCAGTAAATCAATAAATCAATAAATCAATAAATCAATAAATCAATAAATCAATAAATCAATAAATCAATAAATCAATAAATCAATAAATCAATAAATCAATAAATCAATAAATCAATAAATCAATAAATCAATAAATCAATAAATCAATAAATCAATAAATCAATAAATCAATAAATCAATAAATCAATAAATCAATAAATCAATAAATCAATAAATCAATCGATAAATCAATAATATAATAAGTCAATCGATAAATCAATAATATAATAAATCAATAAATCAATAAATCAATAAATCAATAAATCAATAAATCAGTAAATCAGTAAATCAGTAAATCAGTAAATCAGTAAATCAGTAAATCAGTAAATCAGTAAATCAGTAAATCAGTAAATCAATAAATCAATAAATCAATAAATCAATAAATCAATAAATCAAAATCAATAAATCATAAATCAATAAATCAATAAATCAATAAATCAATAAATCAATAAATCAATAAATCAATAAATCAATAAATCAATAAATCAATAAATCAATCGATAAATCAATAATATAATAAATCAATAAATCAATAAATCAATAAATCAATAAATCAATAAATCAGTAAATCAGTAAATCAGTAAATCAGTAAATCAGTAAATCAGTAAATCAATAAATCAATAAATCAATAAATCAATAAAACAATAAATCAATAAATCAATAAATCAATAAATCAATAAATCAATAAATCAATAAATCAATAAATCAATAAATCAATAAATCAATCGATAAATCAATAATATAATAAGTCAATCGATAAATCAATAATATAATAAATCGATAAATCAATAAATCAATAAATCAATAAATCAATAAATCCATAAATCGATAAATCGATAAATCGATAAATCGATAATTCGATAAATCCATAAATCAATAAATCAATAAATCAATAAATCAATAAATCAATAAATCAATAAATCAATAAATCAATAAATCAATAAATCAATAAATCAATAAATCAATAAATCAATAAATCAATAAATCTTAAAAATAAAAAGGCGTTTCTGTAGCAATATAATTTCGATTTCATTGATAGATGGTTATGATTAATTTTGATTAACGTCATATTTTTTGCTGTTGTTAAAGTATCACATTTTTCGATAACTATTATCACCCTTTCTGTAGCATTGAACTAAGTAAATTTTGTACTTCTTCAGCATTTTAAAACAATGAGACAATTCTCAAATTCTTTATAAACCATCAAGAACATTGGGTAGTAAAAAAAATTCTATTAATTTCAACAAATCCTCTGTATCGCAGTTAAAACTATGTATACTTTAACGAGTTATTCCTTAATATATAACTATATTTACCGAAATATTTTACTAACTAAACAATTTCCCTCAAGTCCGTCTCTTTGACTCGGTATCCCGATCGCAACTTCTCTTAATAAACAAGATTAAAATAAACAATTAAGGTTATCACTTAGCACGAAAATTTTCTTCGATTGTCATTCCCAGCCGTCTCTGACGCCATTTTTTTCTATCATACGGTACCTAAAGCGTATATTTAGATAAATAGAATATTTTTTCAACCGATTAGAAAACATAGGTATTGAAAAACAATTTGTTGGTCTCATTTCTCATTTTTAGTAGTTTTAAAAGCTACTGCGATGCGTTTTTTTTATGATTTTCATTTTATAGGTACTTGGATTGGATGAATATATTGTCCTACGATTACCATTCGGCTTTTGAACCTGCCGTAAATCACCATGCCCCCCTTTTTGCCTTGGAGGAAGACAATGAATACAACTATGATACGGAACTGAACATCGTGAGTACTATTAAAAAATATTAGTTTCTTTCAATTGAATAACTGTGTAAATTGTACTTGCGATGAATAATAAGTGCGGTAGTATGTTAATTTTAGACGAATAGTAATTTTGAATAATTTTTATACCAGTTAAAATATACAGGGTGTTTCAAAAAACCATGTACCATCTTTCGTGGGGAGATTCCTCAAGTAAAAATAAGATTTATTTTTCGTATCAACATAGGTCCGATTCTGCTTTGTTTCGTAGCTATAGGGTGTTAAAACCTTAATAATCTTTCGATTTGTTATAATTTTCTTCCAAGTATTTTTAGTGATTCGAATGAAATTTTGAGGGTAAAAGCTACTATAATTGCTACATATTTTAATGGTAAAAAGTGTCGATAAATTCATCAAAAAAAGCATGTACGCCACCACGCCACTGACTTTTTTTTTATCTTGTCAGCGAAATACTGTAAGCAGTTTAATGCCGATTAAAAGTTGTCTCTTAATATTTTATCGATAATTAGGTAGCTGTTATTGAAATTTAAAATTTGTTCTTCATTTTTAGAAAATGTTAAATATGTGAAAAACCTTATCTTTTGGTCATTTGCTTCTTTAATGAATCTCATCAATTTTTCCAAAAATCCGAAAATCAATTAATATATAGGGTATTCTATTACAAAAAAACACAACTTTGATGCATAACTTTTTGTGGGGACACCCTGTAGAACTCTATATATTTTAATAGAATGCGTTCAATTACCCCAAGTATGCTCCCAAAATTTCATTTCGATATAAACTACCGTTCTCCTTGGAGTCTCCGCGTCGTATGAGAGGCGCCACCCTGTACAGGTTATTACTTTTTTTTTCATTAAGATTAAACTGAGTAAGTTGTAATTGAAATATAATTACTAGGCTTATCGCGACGTCGTTTTTATCCAATCATACGGTAGTTTGCGTATTTTTTTAAGCAGACGATGTACCTACCTACTATAATACACCTATGAAAAACTCGATTCGATATACGTTATGTACAGCTAGGAACCGTTACAGATATAATTATTAAATTGATTTGATTGAAGGTAACTGTACCGATATTCAGTATTTAGATCAAACAATCAGTACGATCATTATTTACAGTAACGGTGCCCATATATTGATCGATATATTTCCTGTACGAAATTTTCGTACCAATTTCTCAACGTTATTCATAGCACTACACCGATACGACATAAACCAATTATAATATCGATTAAAAATTGTATTATATCAATTAAATAGTGTCGAATTATTGCTCCAAATTGTTTTAAATAAATAAAGTTAAATTAAACACATTTATTTGGACATGGTTTCAATTTAAATTTGGAACACTTCAAACAATATTTATTTTACTAAGAGAACAGCCATTTTGTTTGAACTATTTAATATTTGTTCTTAAGCTACTTAATCAAGTTAAAAAAAAACGGTTTGCTACTGTTACTTTTGGGCATAGTATCCTTCAGGCAGAAATCTACGCTATCAAACAAAAGATGCGTACAACTTATCTTTGTAAGGAATCTATCAGAAACAAGAAATAACCATCTTATCCGAATTATCCTGCCTAATAGAGATCTTATGCCATCTTATCCTGCCTAATAGAGAAGCTGAATAAATTAGGCAAAGAACATAAAGTCCTTCTACTCTGGTGCCAACCCACCAAGGGATAGAAGTAATGAAAAAGACTACACCATCTAACTAGAAAAGGAGCGGACACTCCACTAACTGTACCAAAACCGTTCTGCTTTCCAAGTGTTCTAACTTAAAGCAGAACTCAAGAACCTGGAAGAGTCCTAACCTAACTCCTGTAAAAACGTCTCAGATACTGGCTTTTGTAAAAACGCTGAGACTGTATGATGAGTTATAACTCAAGAAAGGGGGACACCAATGTCAGCCTAATCAGGGTTGCCACCTGTCCCGATTTTGATCTAAAAATTCCCGTGTTCCCACGCAAAACCCTAATGTCCCGATTTTTATTTGTTTAATAGCCACGTTTTTATCTATATAGTAAACGCTACGAATGTTTGGGAGTGATTCATCGGTCGCTACCATGTGAACTAATCTGTTCAAGGTCATATAAAACTTAATTCCAGTGCCGTGGTGTTTCAAGGCATATAATAATCAATATATAATCTGTTGTAATTTGTTGTTTTAACTGCCAAAGTCTTGTCAAAACATATATTTGGTTATAAATATAAAATGGAATGTCCCATTGGTCGCACTGCAAGCACACCAATGGACTGACGCACAAAACAGATCAATCAAAGAAACGCGATATAGTATCGTCTTTGTCAATCACGCTAACATTTTAGAATAAATAGGAGGAGCGCATGCAGATGATTAGACCGGGCTTTAAAAACCTACGTCTGCGGTAAAAATTTACGTTTTTAATGTAAAAATGATGCGCGCGTGTCGATTCTAACTTCATCAAGCGATGAATCACTCCCAAATATTCGTGGCGTTTACTCTACTATATAATATATAAAATCCTTAAGGCCCGCCGCAAATTGAACCCAGCCCACGCACAGCACACGCCCAACCCATTCTTGATTCCACGCACACGTTTTCTTTAGCACCGCATATTGAACACAGCCCAGACCCAAGTTTTTAGTGTCGATCATGACTAAAAACGAGCAACTTCTTGATTTAGAATCAGAACCCGAGAACGAGGACTTGTTTTACTTCATTGCGCTTAATAAAAAGAGAAAAGGAAGTAGAAGAAACGCATATTTGCGAAAAAGAGCAAGCCACGGAGAGTTTAGATTGTCTAGCGGAGTTCCAGACAGCCTATTTAAAGAGTCTTTTCGATTAAACAGGAGACAGTTTTTTGAAGTGTATGAACTAATAAAAACAGACATTACAGGTAAGGAGTGCAATGCCAAAAAACCTATTGGAAGTGAAGAAAAACTAGCAGTTTGTCGCAAAAGTAGAAGGGGAAGGAACCCACGACCCACGAAAACTGTGTCTGAACGCAACTAGATCCACGAAAAGGCTGTGCTAGGCGTGGAGTGTGTTTAATTTGCGGTACTCCCTTCTTTCCTGTGTTTTACAAAATTCGCCACGCATGGGTTGGGCGTGTGCTGTGCGTGGGCTAGGTTCAATTTGCGGCGGGCCTAAGTGACTGACTCACTGATTAATCACGATCCTGCTCAAACCACTCAACGTAAGAAGCTCAATTTTGGCACACAGGTTGATTCTAGGGTGTAGAGGTTCGATAAGAAGGGATTTTTCGAAATTCCAGTTCCAAGGGGGTGAAACCACCACTCAAATATTACCATATTTTTTAATTAAAAAACGGCCAAGTTTCCGACTCTTAAACACGTATATTTCATTTTGTTTTTTTAAATATTTTAAGATTTTTTAAAAATGTATACAGGGTGTTTCAAAAAATCTAGTCGTTGATTAATCACGATCCTGCTTAAAGCGCTTGACGTAAAAAGCTGATTTTTGGAAAACAGATTGACTTTAGGGTGTAGAGGTTCAATAAGAAGGGATTTTTCGAAACTCGAATTCTAAGGGGGTGAAATATTAAAATATTTTTTTATTTAAAAATCGGAGAGTCTTTCGGAAAAACTCTTAAACACGTATATTTTATTTTGTTGTTTTACATATTTTAAGATTTTTTAAAACTTTATACAGGATGTTTCATAAAATATAACCATTGGGTAATCACGATTCTGCTTAAACTGTTTGACGTTTAAAGCTGATTTTTGGAAAACAGATTGACTTTACGGTGTAGAGGTTCGATAAGAAGGGATTTTTCGAAACTCGAATTCTAAGGGTGTGAAATATTAGAATATTTTTTTATTTAAAAATCGGAGAGTCTTTCGGAAAAACTCTTAAACACGTATATTTTATTTTGTTGTGTTACATATTTTAAGATTTTTTAAAAATTTATACAGGGTGTTTCATAAAATATGACCATTGGGTAATCACGATTCTGCTTAATTTGCTTGACGTTTAAAGCTGATTTTTGGCAAACAAATTGACTGTGGGGTAGAGAGGTTCGATAAGGAGGGGTTTCTGATATCTCAAATTCCAAGAGGGTGAAAACGCACCTCAAATATTACAATATTTGTTATTGAAAAAACGGTTAGTCTATTGGGAAAACGCTTGGACAAGCATAATTTATTTTGTTTTTTTTTTACATATGTTAATTTTTTTTAAAAAAATCATACAGGGTGTTCCAAAAAGTTGGGTAATTGATTAACCACGATTCTGCTTAAACTGCTTGACGTAAAAAGCTTATTTTTGGCAAACGGATTTTTCGAAAGTCAAATTACAACGAGATGAAACTACCCCTCAAATATTACCAAGTTATATAATAATATCGCCATATTGTTTTTTCTCATGCTGACATAAATGTGAGAAAATTTTATCCAGTTTGTATGTTAATGGAAATTCTTGCCTTGCTTTATCATCACATTACAAATGATTAATTCGACGCGAACGAAGTCGCGGGTACACGCTAGTTGTTTATAAATTTTGAATAGTTTTTTAAGTTAACGAAAAAAGGCATAAAATATTGTTTCAAAATCCGATAGGCATATAAAATTTTATATTTAAGAAAAAAGGTTGCACCAGTGGTGTCCCGATTTTTTCTTCCCGTATTATTAATTATTAATCCTCAAATTGATGTACTTTATTAACATTATTAACTTAAATACAAGAGAGTAAATAATATCCACCAGAACAGTATTTCAGTAGGTATTTTTTCTATTAATTTCTTCAAGAAGTCGAATTACCTAGTATTGTTTCTGTGTAAACTTGAGAAAAATTCGTTCTTTTATCTCTTCAAACAATGAGCCTTCTTATTTTAAAGCCCATTGTTCTAGTTCGTTAAAAGGAAAAATTATATTGCTGCTAACTAAAGCACATATTTAATTTGCAATCAATGGAATGGAAATCGTAGAAAGTGAAAATGAACCTTTATTTTATAACATTGGCTTTCTTTGTTCCGAGCATATTTCATAAAGAGCGCTTGG